CCCAACTGTACAATATGACAACACCGAAACTCCTCCCACTTATTGCCGTAAACTTTCCCTCATCATTCCTCTAGACTAGTTCTCCACCGGTGGGTGGTGGTGACTCCGTGTTCACCGGTCACCGTGAGCGGCTCCTCAGCCTCCCCCTAGCGCAGCACTGTCAGTTCTTGGGCCAAGCAACCATTTAAAATCTGCTGCCCGGCGCCGAGTGTCAGCCTGAGGGGGGAGGGGCGGGGCTATGAGCGTGATGGAGCTCCATCCGTATGTGCAGTTGGAGCGCGTGACGTCACCATGCGTGTGCGCGATTACGCCATCGTGCACGCGCGACAGTATTCTGATACCTGCCGGCGGCCATCTTGGTGATGGACGGCGGCAGAGAGAGGAGGGGACAGCCACCCGGGGGGATGTGGTATGCCGCGGGGTCCCCTCCTCTCTCCTGATACTGTCGGGCGTTCGGTCCATGACCCACCGCCCGACTTTTCAGAGGGGGGTGACTGCAAGTCATTTGGGTGTCACCCCTCCAATGGTGTCACCCGGGTGCGGGCCGCACCCCTGCACCCCCCTTGTGACACCACTGATGTGCAGTGCTGGTACAGCTCCCTCACTCTGGCTCCCGGCACCTCTACAGGGCACGCGAGGGAGCTGTACCAGCATTGCACATATGGATGGAGCTCCGTCACAGCGCAGCAGCCCACACGGGGCCCCTGGCTGAGGATCTGGGGGGACCTTAAAAGAAGAATGTGAGTTTTTGGGGAGTGTGTCTGTGTGTGGTTGTGTTTTATAATAATGATGAGTTCCAGTGCGGCGCCACTTGGGTCACTCCTAATGACCGAGGACAAATGTGGGTCTTGAGGCTACACAGAACCGCTGCTCTACAGGAAAGTGAGTTCAGCCCCGGCGCCCCAAGGCGATGGACAACCCAGTGCTGGGAAGGGCCGCGTACCTCGGTGTGAGCCGGGAGTGACGGGGACGCCTTCTCTTGTCTGAGCGCCACCGATACTGGGACAGCAAGGGATGAAGATGACACCAGAACTGATTAAGTGGACCTCCGGGAGAAGATGCCAATAGCAGAATCTGTGTATCTCACATGGCCCAGCAGAGCCCAATCAGGCCCAGAGGAGCCGCCTGACACCAAACATGAGGGCTGTACCATACAATACGGAGGAGTTCTCAGAATCGGGTCTTTTATGGTGCTTCTGGTTCTGGTAGGTGTAGAATTTCAGAGTTTGAACTCTCACCTCAGGGTCCATAACTAGAACCAGAACTCTGACTTCAGGGTCCATAACTAGAACCAGAACTCTGACTTCAGGGTCCATAACTAGAACCAGAACTCTGACTTCAGGGTCCATAACCGGAACCAGAACTCTGACCTCAGGGTCCATAACTAGAACCAGAACTCTGACTTGTGTGTCCAGGCAGCTAGATTTGGATGAGTCTCCCTCCGGTGGTGACGAGTGGTAATGCCGGACGCTGTGATTGGATGTATCTAGTGTGTGCGGTGTGTGATGACCTGTGTGTGTGATGACCTGTGTGTGTGATGACCTGTGTGTGTGATGACATGTGTGTGTGATGACATGTGTGTGGTCCCCATACCCCCTCGGCACCCCTCCCCCTCTTACCCCACCGTCCCCAGTCCACCGGCCATTGCGGTCAGAATGAGTGAAGTGACATGAATTTTCTTTGCGTTGCAGCATGCGCGGAGTGCGGCCAGTGTGTGTGATGACCTGTGTGTGGTCCCCATACCCCCTCGGCACCCCTCCCCCTCTTACCCCACCGTCCCCAGTCCACCGGCCATTGCGGTCAGAATGAGTGAAGTGACATGAATTTTCTTTGCGTTGCAGCATGCGCGGAGTGCGGCCCTCTGTGGACGGGATGACGGCAGGTACCGCGAGGAGGAGATCCTGTGTAACACAACCCAATAAAATGGCTTTTATGTCTGATCACATCATCCATCACATGACCATCATCCATCACATGACCATCATCCATCACATGACCATCATCCATCACATGACCATCATCCATCATGTGACCCACCCAGTTGTCCGTGAGATCAGACGTCTTCCTGTAGTCCTGGCTCAGGTGGTCGGGAGGACGTCTTCCTAGGGTTCTGGCTATGAGAGCTCTGCTGTGTGATGAGATGTTCCGACTCGACCCGAATGTTCCCCCCATCTACTTCAACGAGGAGGTGAGGAGACCCAACAATGGCGCCATTCCCGTCCTCCAGGAAGTTTCCTTATTTGGGTTGTTTGTCCTTCAATGTCCTGCCGCTCATCCTGATCCATTTCCTGTGACACATTTGTTTTGTGTTCTTTCAGTTGAATGTTTTATAAATGTCGTTTCTTATTGTTTGTGGCATTTTACACATCAGGGGCCCCATTCAGGATTTACCGCGTTTCCCCGAAAATAAGACGCCGTCTTATATTTTTTTGGCCCCCAAAAACCACGCCGGGTCTTATGTAGACATGCGCCATTCCTTTCGTTACTAATCGGAATTCGTAGATTCGGAAGCATCCGAAATCCCAATTGCAGCTTCCGAATTATATCCGAAATACGAAATTCCGTTAACGAATTTCGGATCCGAATTTCTATGAAACGGGAACTAATATTTCCCCTGTAAATGAGGAACAACATGACAAGATTTATTTTTTAATCCGAAATCCGGATCGGCTGCCGCTGAGAGTCGCATTACAATACACAGGCGGGAAATACGAAATTCCGTTACCAACATTCGTGATATTGAAGGTAAAAAGCAAAGTACATTTATATCGGAGTCGATGGTTTTTTATCTGAAATTCGGATCCGGAATCCATTAACGGAATTCGTATTTCGGATAAAAAAACAACGACAACATCGACTCCGATATTAACAAAGGGATTTCTGCTTCTTACCTTCAACATAACGAATGTTCGTAAAGTTACGAAAATATAACCGCCGCTAAGGAAAATCCGTATTTCGTACCAATCCGAATTGAGTTTCGGACACGAATTACGAAACGGAAGGAAACAAACGGAACAAATTTTTTGACGGCGCACAAGTCTAGTCTTATTTTCAGGGGACGTCTTTTTCTTTTCTTTTAATGTGCAACAAAATGTACAACAATCTAAAGTTATCCGGTGTCACTCCGGTGTCACTCCGCCTGTCACAGTAACCGGCGCTATAGAGGAAGTATCGGCTAATGCGGCTCTGCTCCCTCCCCCGCCGCAGCCTTGCTTTCTACAGCGCCGGCTTCCTTTACCATCAGGTACCAGCGGTACCAGCGGTGGGGACATCAGACAGTGGCCAGCGCGGTAAAGTACGGCGCCACTTACCCGTACACATTACAGTACCGGTACCATTACATGACGCGGTGCCTTCAGGGGGACAGCAGTCGGTGAAGTCTGGTACTGGAGTGTCACTGCGCTGGCCGGAGGGAGTCCCCTGTCATCCCCTGATACAGTATGTCCCTGCAGGCCGGCACCATCTCTCCTGCAAGTTCCCCCTCACAGGCCACCACCACGCTGGCTCTTACTTTCGGGGGAACCGGGTTTAGTTCAGCATTTGATGTCCCTGAGGAAGGGCCGCTGGTGTCCGGGATGATGAGTCCGCTCCCAGGTCAGCCGCAGTGAGTTGAAGCTCCTCCAGCCGGCTCCACACATCGTCCCTCAGCCTGGTCAGGTCTATCCGAGGCCTCCACAGTGTCAGGGGTTCCAAGTTGGGTCCTTAGGGATGCCACGTCACACACCGGGGGCCCATGAGATGCGGGAACCAAGGTGGTGCAGCAGCTGCGCCGGAGGAACCTGTCCAGCCATCGCCACCGACATACTGTCCCAAAACCAGCACGCGCTTTCCCCCGAGTCCCCAAGATATCAGCTGCACAACGATCTCCGGAACGAAGAGACTTCTACTCGGAGTCCTTCCAGGCGCGGAGAACCCGCTCAATTTCCAGCAGGGCTGCCTAGACCCCCCCCTGAGGAAGGAACATCACGCCCCCCCTCCCCCCCCATTGCTGTCTGTGACCTGTATATTTGTCCTCCATTGTCACTGGGACTTCAAATGATGGGAAACCCAACTGTTGTCAGCAGAATAGAGGGAGAATCTTCCACTGGGGACACCTGTCCAAGGGGGGACTTCCTCTCACCTTGGAGGGAGTTGCTATAACTTCCTGTTGCATCTCTTGGACAGGAAGCTTTGGCTATCCATACACTTTAAGGTGGATACAGATCTAGGAGAACATCATATGATTGATGTTTCGTATGGCGGTTGGATGACCTGCACACTCCCGGCCACCTCTGAGCCTTCCCCTCTTCCAGGTCTACTCCGGCCATAAACCTCTCCGTATCGGCTACTATGAGGAGGACGGCTTCTTCCTTCCCAGTCCCGGCATGAGGCGCGTCCTGCTGGAGACCAAGAAGCTTCTAGAAGAGGCCGGACACCAGGTAAGGGGGGATCGCACCGGGGATCGGGGGGCCCATCTACTCCCCAATAACAGACTCCAGAAAGTGATTCATCTTCTCAGCTCGTCCCGTTCCGACCTCCGCGAGTGGATCGGGCCTATCAGATGTACCTGAAGAGCGCGTTGTTTGGTGACGGAGGGAAAACGCTCGCAGACAAGTTGTAAGTTGAAGATGTTTTTTTGGGGGGGACCTTGGATTCTCAATTCATGAAGTGGTGAATCTTTGGTGAATCCCATAACTTGGATTTCTGATATTTAATAACAATTCCTTAGTAATGACGAAACGTCTTTCACTCGCGGTGAATGTTTTGTGTCTTCTGTTTACTTCCAGTGAGAAGAACATTGTTGACGTCCACCTGGCGGGAAGCGTCCCTCTGTACCGGCTCCCGGCCATGCTGAAGAAGACGCTGGCCTTCCTCCTCCGGCCCATAGTGAGCTCCGCCCACTGCCCCCGAAAATGTCCCAGTGATGGGCGGAGACTAGAAGTTGTCTCCAATGCCACTGCTGGAACCTCGGTGCCCGGTAAAGCTTCCGCCGGAGCCTTCACTAAGCAATAGGTTAAAAAAACCGGCACTCGCAGGCGATCCGTCCTTAGTCATAGCCTACGTAGCTCCAACTTGGGGTTACGATGACCTTTTACAAATAAAGTTCTGGATGGACGGATCCCCTGCGAGTGCCGGTTCTCTACCTATCGCTAGGTGTGTATGTGGGCACTAGGACCCCAGGCACTTACCTGGGTAGAGAGGGCAGGAAAATGGAAGGAAATGATGGTGGACCATGCGAGGGGGGCACTTATCGGCATAGAGGGGGGCACTTATCGGCATAGAGGGGGGCACTTATCGGCATAGAGGGGGCAGTAGATCCTGATGGTGGAGAGTTGAATTGATAGGACGATCAGACCCCGTATGTGAAAATGAAATGGGGCTTTTTCAGCCCCCAACATGCTGCTTGTTCTTGGCAGCCACTAATCTGTCATTTCAGACTCGGGGTCCGGGGCCAGGCACGGGGGTGGGGAGTTTACCCACCAGTAGCAGAGAACGAAGAACGACACATCAGGATGACTAAATATTAGGAATCCACACTGCCAGCAATCCCCTAATGTGTACCCTCCCCCATCATTCATCAGACTGGGGGCCCCCGGGCCCCTGGATCAGCCTGTCTGATCTGTTATTGAAAATCTTTTGCAGGCTCCTCGGATCTCTAAAGTCCTCTACTCCTGTGCCGGACCCCGGTGAGTCCCTGACCTCCTTACGCCTCTACTTTCGGGCAGACATGATGTGGGCGGAGTCTGGGGACATGACCATATAAGGAGGAATCTCTGAAATATTAATGTAAAAGAAAGATAACAATTTCCTCTTTATGGGCATTTTGTGCAATTTTGGAATAAAGATAAAATGGATGTCACTTTCTGGGGGCCGTTTCTCCGGGGCCCGCTCCGTTTTGGGGCCCCATTCCTCAGGAACATTGGAGGGTGTTTATGGGGCTGAAACTTGCAGATGGACAATGTGAAGATTTCTGTCTTCTGTGCTTCCTCCATGCAGATCTGTTCAGGAACATTGGAGGGACCTCATCGCTCTGGAGGTGACGACCCAGCCGATCACTTGTCTGGAATGTCTCCATTTACTTCCTCCGATATCTTCTTCACTTCCTGTCCCTTCACTTCCCATCCCTTCACTTCCTGTGCCTTCACTTCCTGTGCCTTCACTTCCCGTCCCTTCACTTCCTGTGCCTTCACTTCCTGTGCCTTCACTTCCCGTCCCTTCCTGTCTCATCACTTCCCGTCCCTTCACTTCCCGTCTCATCACTTCCCTTCACTTCCCGTCCCTTCACTTCCCGTCCCTTCACTTCCCGTCCCTTCACTTCCCGTCCCATCACTTCCCGTTCTTACGCTTCCCGTCCCTTCACTTCCCGTCTCATCACTTCCCGTCTCATCACTTCCCGCCCCTTCACTTTCCGTTCTTTCTCTTCCCGTCTCATCACTTCCCGTCCCTTCACTTCCCGTCCCTTCTCTTCCCGTCCCTTCACTTCCCGTCTCGTCACTTCCGTCCCTCACTTCCTGTCCTTTCACTTCCCGTCCCATCACTTCCCTCCCTTCACTTCCCGTCCCTTCACTTCCCTTC